TCAAAAGTAAATCATTAAATTATGGAAGTATTTCGTGCGGAAACGGGAAAACGTCTTAGAATCTCTAAGAGGTTTGAGAGGTAATAAGATTTATTTCTTTTTATTTTTTTTAATACAAGAGTCGATATTAAGAGTAGTATTTGATCAAGCATTAAATGAGTCTTGGGCATTAAGCGAAAGTGAAAGAATATTATTCCCAAAATGAATGTGCATGTCTACTCAATAGCTTGTCACAAAATTTTTGATTTTTCCTTTTTGATCCTTTTACAGTTTGGGTGCTTTTAAAACAGAGCTTGAACAACTGTCCGGTGTCTCATTATCTTCACAGATCTTAATAACAAGTGCTGGAATCCAACTAAGAGATGATATAGATATCAAGGTAACATTCTTTTATGTCATTCTCGCGGTTTTCTCCATTCATTGGGTTCCGATTGTCTAACTTAAGATTTTAACGTATCCAATAATAATTACAAAGAATGAACGAATCTTCCTTTTCAATAGAGAGCTTCTAGATTCTAAACTTGCTATCAATCTAGAATCTCTTAATGAAAAATTGAACTTAGAACCTTCTATAATTGGTAAAATAATACTAGATTTTTTTTTGTTTTTATCTTTTTTTGAAGTTGTCCACTCAATCAAATTTGTAATTATTTGCAGCATCGATCACCACACTTGCAACTGAAAGAGCTCAACATTCTTCCACCTTAAATAATTTGAATATTTCTGATGAATGCGGTACTTATGCCAATTTGTTTCAAAAGAATCATTCTCAAGGACAGGTGACCATCATCTGCTAAGTTATATACTATAGAATGCAAATCTATAATTCAAATAAAAATTATCGTTATTAGAAATTAGATGTTCATATCCAAATCCTTTTTATCTTCGAAGTCATTCATTAAAGCAGCCGCCATTCATACTGAACTTTGTGAACGTCTATATCAAGAACAAAGGGTACAGCTAATAGCTTTGGATGTTGCCCTTTCGAATCTTGATTCCCACTGCCGGTGTGTAATGTTGCTAACTTAGTTTAACTATAAATCCTATGCTTCACTTTAGCTTCAGAATTCTTATTTTTTTTTATATTATATAATAAATTTAGCTCGGTTGTCGAAGTTCACGAGATATTTAACACACTTTCCGAAAAGGAAATTGGAAAGCAAGATATGTTGATTAAAAGGTACTTTTATCTTTACATTTGAAGTATATTTTCATGTGTAATTATTTTAATAAAATATATATAATTTTTTTTTTAATGAATACAAATTTTTTTAGTTTGCCAATAGATATAGAAATTCTTCGTAATATTTCCGTTCATCCGGAACTGTTAAAATCAGCTGGCATTAGTGTGGATGGTCAGAGATCTTATTCATTGGCAGATTTCGTATCTCTTGACGAGTTTACAACTCTAGCTGAAAAAGGACGAGACACATATGGTTTGTTGAAAATCTTGGTTTAATAATTTCAATAATTTCTGAATATTTTATTAAATCTTGAATTTTCTTGTGCCAGGTCAACTTTCTAGGAGTGTACAAGAATTGGAAGATACGGTTCAACGCGTAAAATCAGGTACAGAAACGTTGAGAAAAAGGAAATATAACAACAAGTAAGTTATTTGGCTATTAATTGTTCATATGTGTAGATAAAGCGTGTTCAAATTATATATGTCCAAAATCGTTATTATAGTTTTTCTACAATGGAGAGCACTTTGATCCAAATTCGGGAAGGATATGCAAGACTAAGAAAGCATGCCGAGACAATAGAGCGAGGTATTGTCACTATGGTGGTCAAAACAGAGATGAACCGGTTTAATCGGCTTAACCTATGAAAATAAACCGGTTTCAAACTCTAGATTAAATATTCATAAATTATTGTTAATATGTGTATATATA